ATTGGAGTATATCCCTTCAATCTGAAGACAAAAAAATTATAAGCAAATCTTGGAACTTTACTTAAAAGATTGGTGTACTTAAAATGTTGATCAATATTAACATCACCAGTAATGAGACAGACCATCATATGCCTCCCAATGTGATGTGCTGAGAACATAATAACACATTTGTGATATTCTTGGCCCTCCAAAAACAGTTAAATTCAATCTAACGAGGAAATAGCAGATATCCCCCAAACTGATAAAATTGTTTTTATTTTATTTATTTTTTGAGACAGAGTCTTGTTCTGTTGCCCAGGCTGGAGTGCAGTGGTGCCATCTTGGCTCACTGTAACCTCCACCTCTCAGATTCAAGCAATTCTCCTGCCTCAGCCACTTGAGTAACTGGGATTACAGGTACCTGCTACCATGCCCAGCTAATTTTTGTATTTTTTGTACAAACAGGGTTTCACATGTTAGCCAGGATGGACTTAAACTCCTGACCTTGTGATCTGCCCACCTCGGCCTCCCAAAGTGCTAGGATTACAGGTGTGAGCCACTGAGCCCGGCTGAAATTATTTTTAAAAATAGGATTGTAGATGCTCCTAAAAATTGACCATATCTTGAAAGATAGAAAAGCTTTAGACAGATTAAAGAAGTCTAAATATGACATGACAACTAAATTCAATATGTGATCCTGGATTAGATATTGAACTGGAAAATAAACTTTTATAGTGAACATTTGCTAGTTTTCCAAATAGAAAAAAACTAGTAAAATTTGAGTGTGGACTGTAGATTACATGATAACATTGTAGCAATGTCAAATTTCCTGATTTTTACATTTGTAGTGAGGTTATGTAAAATCTGTTTCTTCTGAGCCAGGTAAAGTGGCTCACGCCTGTAATTCCAGCACTTTGGGAGGCCGAGGCGGGCAGAGCAGCTGAGGTTGGGAGTTAAAGACTAGCCTGACCAACATGGAGAAACTCCATCTCTACCAAAAATACAAAAAATTAGCCAGGTGTGGTGGCGCACGCCTGTGATCCCAGCTACCAGGGAGGCTGAGGCAGGAGAATCTCTTGAACCCAGTAGGCGGAGGTTGTGGTGAGTGAGCCGAGATCATGCCATTGCACTCCAGCCTGGGCAACAAGAGCGAAACTCAACCTCAAAAAAAAAAAAAAAAAAAAAAAAAAAAGTCTTCTTCTTAAGAGATAAACATTCTAAGGTCAGGTGCGGTGGTTCATGCCTGCAATCCCAGCATGTTGGGAGACCAAAGCGGGTGGATCGCCTGAGCCCAGGAGTTCGAAACTAGCTTGGACAACATAGTGAAACCCTATCTCTACAAAAAGTAGAAACAATTATCCGGGTGTGGTGGCATGCATCTGTAGTCCCAGCTACTTGGGAGGCTGAGGTGGGATCACTTGAGTTAGGAGGTCGAATCTGCCACTCCAGCATGGGCGACAGAGTGAGACCCTGTCTTAAAAAAAAAAAAAAGAAGGAATACACACTCAAGAAGTGCGGTAAATTGGCAAGATGTCTGCAACTTACTCTCAGATGGTTGAGGAAAAAAAATGTGTGTCCACAAACATACACATACAGAGGAACAGGCACAGATGTGGCAAACTGTTAAATGCAGAATGTGGGTGAAATACATTAGATGTTTTTCATATTACTCTTACAACTTTTCTGTAAATTTTAAATGATTTCAAAAAAGTTTTGTTTTTAATTGTTTCTAGCTTCTTTGACAGACTTATTTCCCCCCTTCTTGTCTCTCAATCTGGGGTCCTTATTGGACAAGGGTTTACATAATTGGTATGGTACGGTGGCTCACGTCTGTAATTCCAGTACTTTGGGAGGCTGAGGCAGGTGGATCACTTGAGGTCAGGAGTTCAAAACCAGCCTGGGCAACATGGTGAAACCTCATCTCTACTAAACATACAAAAAATTAGCCAGCGTTGTGGCGGGCACCTGTAATCCCAGCTACTCAGGAGGCTGAGGCAGGAGAATCGCTTGAACCTGGGAGGCAGAGGTTGTAGTGAGCCGAGATCGTACCACTGTGCTCCAGCCTGGGCAATAGAGGAAGACTCCATCTCAAAAAAAACAAAACAAAACAAACCAAAAAACCAAAAAACAGACTTTACATAAACTTGAACTTTAGCAGTAAAATGACCTGTGGGAGATGGAAATTAGTATCACTTAAATGGGAATGAAGTGACTGGGACACTGACTCTTTAAGTAGTTTAAGAAGAAATGCTGCTGCTCCTTTTGGTGTAGTCTCTACCTGGTAAAGGACGGTGGTTTGAGGTCTGCCCCACCTCCCTGTCCCAGAGGGAAGGGGAAGCATTTTACTCACAGATATCTTGTCATTATTATTTAATCTTAGTTTGGTAATTTAATCTTAGTTTAGTAAGTAGTTAATCTTAGTTTGGTAAATAGTTAATCTTAGTTTGATAACTTAGAGGAAGAGGGGAATCACAAAAGGTAGCAAGAAGGACATGTACCCATGTTGTGTATCAATTCCAACATTCTTGAAAGGCCCGGCCATGCAAATGTGTGTGGGAACTCCAATATAGATGGATCTAACAAGCTACACTGAAGCCATTTTCTTATTTAAACGCTCTGCATTGGACTGCTCTGTGGATAAATTTCTTTAATATCTGTAATAGTGCTAGTACAATACAGTAAAGCAGCCCAGTCCCCATATCCTTTGCTGTAATTCCAGCATTTACAGTAGACAACTAGAGATACTAATCCAGAGGTTTGGGTACAGATTTCACAATTACAAAGAGCTGGCATCAGCATTGTCTTCAAAGGACATTCACCAAAGGAGCAAAGCAAAGGCCGGGTATATTGACAAAATGCTTTGTTTAACCAAAAATTGAATGGAAAACAGATTCCCTGACAAGCCATCAAATTCAGAGCCATGGAGAAACAAATTACAATGATAGCAACGTAACCGCCTCCGGTAGGTAACTAGCCAAAGTTGTACATAATTTACCATAGACAAAGCCTGGAAGACTTGGGGCACAGAAGGCCTAAGATCTCAAGTCAGGCCAGGCACCTCCCACCCACCCACCCACCAGGTCCCTGTAGTTTACAATTGGGTCTGTTCATTCTGAGGACCCCATTAAAGCTCCTATTCTACAGAAGTCTAGTTGTCCCTAGTAGGTTGGGGTATTTTTTGTCTATGTCAAGGGGCATAGGTAGTTTGCAAAACTGGCTGCTTTCCAAAGCCAAGAAGGAAGCATCAACCTCTCTCTCTCTCTCTCTCTTTTTTTTTTTTTTTTTTGAGGCAGGGTCTTGCTCTGTCACCCAGACTGGAGTGCAGTGGTATCATCATATGATCATAGTTCACTGCAACCTTTAACTCCTGGGCTCATGCAATCCTCCTGCTTCAACCTCTGCAGTAGCTGGGTCTACAGGTACATACCACCATTTCCTGCTAATGCCCAGCTATTTAATTTTTTTTTGTAGAGATGGGGTCTCACTATGTTGCCCAGGCTGGTCTTGAGCCCCTAGGCTCAAGCAATCCTCCTGCCTCGGCCTCCCAAAGTGCTGGGACTACAGGTGTGAGCCACCATACCCAGCAATAGGCTTCTTAATCAATTTCACAAAAGATGAACAAAAAAGGCCAAGTCCTAAGCAAGAGTGGAATGTGCAGAGTGCCCTCAGGGGCATCCTTTCCTGGTTTGTGTTCTTTTGTTTAAATTAACTTGTTTCACTCTCAACTGTGAATGGTGAATGCCCAATATGGGCTTAGAAGCCTATTTTCATAAAGGGATTTTCATCTTTGTCAGGAATCAAAGCCTTAAATGAAAAAACTCAACTATTTATTTGGAGCTGGTGGAGCAGGTTTGCTCATGAAGTCACACCCAGTTGGCATCACATAGGCCTGAAAGCCTCTGTGATGGATAACTGAGCCAATTACTATTCCCACCAAATTCTTGGCAAGTGTTAACCTGCCCTTTACAAAGGCTCAGCAGATATACGGCTTCCAAGATGTTTCATGTCAATGTCAAGTCCCTGTAGGGGAACCAGTCCTGTCCTGCCTGAGATTCTACTACCCTGAAGCCGCCTTGGGACATCCTATGAGAGGCTGATTATGCTCTTCAGTGGTAAGTTCTCCCATACTCAGGTACAGATCTAATTCCCTGGACAACTAAATCAGCTATTTTTCCATCCTCTTAGCAAATGAGACTGAAAAGGACCTGACCTACACTGAGATGCATGAAGTCTGGCAATCTTTAAATCCAGCTGCATATGTAACCAACAGGTTAAGTAATGTCTGACAGGAGTGCTTCGTCTTTAAAATCCTTGTTGTGTACCACACTACTGCTTCTTTGTGGACTTTTGTCCACAAAGGTCCTTTGATTCAGTTTGTTTATGTACACTTAGAGATTTCAATTAAATGTGGTTTTTAATAAACCTCATTCTCTAATGCATATTAACTTTTATTTTTATGGATTACTATGACCTACACTTTGTTTTTAAAAATGAAGCTTTCAGATTATTTTTATCTTCATTGCACCCTCAAGTGTGCTTTTCTGGCCTTCTCATTTTTGACTGAATTTGGAGAGAAATGAGTAAGTCATTTTTAGGCCCTGATTTGAAGGACCTATAAAAAAAGAAAGTCTTTCCACTCCCATCCCACCATGCAACCCTCTGCTTGGAGGCAGCACAGTGACCTGCTTGTGTATTGGTGTGAATTGGGGATCTGAGTAAGGGAAACTGGAGGCTGCAAGGGGGCTCTGGAAGAAGTTCAAAAGCAAATTTGTTTTCCACATTTTGCTCAGGTTTGTCCTGTGAAGAGATTAGAAAGCAAGATCTCTGAAAACAGTGCAAGAATCTTAACTCCATAGCCTGCAGAAAATCTTCAGCCAGTGAAGGGCTCTTACACAATTAGTCTTCCTAAGAACAGAGCATACATAAATAAGTGGGTTCAAATGGGCACAAAATAGAATGCACAATATTTGTTTAGATAAAAGAAAAAATTTCCACCAGCAAAAACTAAAATAACTGACTGTGGAGACTTGATCCATCTGTATTAGCAGAATGGAGGCCCCTTTAAAGCACTGGGTATGACCAGGTTTCAGTCCTGCCAGATCCTGAATTCTGAGAGAAAGGATGGTTCCCTGGAGACCACCGTGAGTTCAGTAAGTATGAGGAATTGACATTGGCTATGAAAGGGAAGAGCAAGACCTTCACTCAGATGTAGGGAGAGGAAAACAAACCACAGCGTAGACCACATAATAGCTGCATAATAGATAGTGATCAGTTTACAAAGATATTCTTAGAAGCCAGTTGAATATCAGTCTTGTTAACAAGTGACACTGATGTCCATTCTCCTGGTTCTTACTGGCACAAGACAGCTTCATAGACACATACATATTGCACAAAGTTCTATGATAGGTTTCCACAGGGAAAGGTTTCCACCTGGTTCCTGCTGTTCCCCACAGAAGGGACAAAAGTTCCCTGAGTCACTGTTCATTGTTACCAAGTGTGCTTTCCCCTGTGAAGGGCCATGAGCCTATCCCTTTACTTCATTGGCAAACTCCAGTGGCATCAGGTGGCCTTGGTCATAGGCAAGAGTCATTTAATATGACAGCAATTACTGAAGCTGTGATCCCTTCCTTTTTAGCAACAGACCTTGAGCCTTTACTGAAATCCTGAAGGACTCAAAATGAGATGTCTTCTTTTTGAAAATATACAAACCAGAATCAGCTTGCTCATTCTCAGAGGATGTTGACTGTGGTCATTGTTCTTTTGAGATAAGTTGTTAACTTTTCAGGGTAGCTTGCTGTTCCCCTGCCAGTACAGCTTCTCTTCCACTTTTTTCTTTTTCCATTGGCAGAGAAGCAGCATCTTAAAGGTCTTCCTGAAGGTTCTGTTGCAGAGGGCATAGCAGATGGGGTTGACAGTGCTATTGACATAGCACAACCAGTAGCCCAAGTGCCACAGGGCAACTGGGACACATTTGTCACAGAAGGTAGAAACCAGGACCATGATGTTATAAGGGGTCCATGTGATGATGAAGGCCAGGAGAATGGCACTCAGTGTCTGGGCTGCTTTCCTCTCTTTGACTAGGACCATTCTCTTTCGTTTGGTCATTTGGTGGCTGAGATTGGGACTGAGGCCTTTCGTTGAAGGTTCTTTGGCCACTGGGAAGGAGCAGGGCATGATTTTCACTTTGTGACAGCCATTGTTGGTCTCCTGGGTCCCATCAGCTTTTACAACCAATTGGAACTTATAGGCCACACATTGCTGACTCTTGGGTCTATGAGCAGCTGCTGGAGACAGAAAGTAGTCTGGGGAGTCACAGTCATTTTTATCAGTTTGACCTTTCACAAAAGTTTCCTCAGCCTCTTCAGCACTGAATTCTTCCCCTGGGCTTTCCTTGCCCTGACTCTTGTAGACCACTTGGAGGACAGGGTCAGTGGCAGGCTTATCCTCATCCTCTGAGGAAGGATAGCTGCTACAGGTGGTGAGCTCCTCGGCTTTGGCCCAGTTGGTGCTTGGGCCAGTGGCTTGGGATGGCTTCCCAGTGATGGAGGTGCTCCTGTGGGAGGATGACCGGGAGGCCTGGTTCCTTTCCCTCTGGACCAGGGTGGGTCGAGGACAGCGAAAGCACGATCTGAACAAAGCCCTATGAGCTGGCTTTCTCTTCTCGGCTTTGGTCACAGAGACAGAACCCTGGAGGTCAGCCAGGTCCTTGGTTCGCTTTTCTGTTTCCCGGTAGATTCGGCAGTAGAGGATGGTCATGACAGAAACGGGGATGTAGAAGGCAGCAATGGCAGTGCCAAAAGTGATGGTGGGCTCAGAGAGAAACTGGATCTGGCACTCATCCGGTGGAACTGTCCGCTTCCCAACCAGGTACTGCCAGCAGAGGATTGCTGGGGCCCAGAGGATGAAGGAGATCAGCCAGGCCAAGCCAATCATGATGCCAGCCCTTTTTGGAGTACGCTTGGCCCGGTACGTCAAGGGTCTTGTGATGGAAAAGTAACGGTCAAAACTGATCACCAGAAGGTTCATGACAGAAGCATTGCTGGCCACGTAGTCCAGTGCAAGCCAAAGGTCACAAGCCAGACTCCCGAGAGCCCAGCGTCCCATGAGGATGTAGGTGGTGTAGAGGTTCATGGAGAAGATCCCAATGATGAGATCTGCACAGGCTAAGCTGAGCAGGTAATAGTTGTTCACTGTCTTGAGCTGGCTGTTGACTTTGAAGGAGATCATGACCAAGACATTGCCCACAATGGTGATCAGGCTTACCACAGCAGTCACAGCTGCAATGGTGATGACTTCCCACAACCTGTGGCGTTCCAAAGGCTGGTGGTTTACTGGGGTGCCATTGATGGTCGTTGCATTGCCGTAAGAGTCCCCTTCCATCCTGGTGAAAAAATTTTACATTAGAATTGTCTTTGGTTCTAGGCTGTTTTCTATTTCAGCTCTTCTTGGCCAGCATCTGGAAGAGAGGGAAATATATTAGCTCCACACACCAGTATGACTTTCTTGTCCATCCATTGTTTATAGTTTCTAACAGAATATTAAACGTGTCTGCACACATATGCAGAGCAAGATGCTGAAATCTCTAAAGTTTGATCATCTTTTTATAATGGCATCCTTTTGCTTTTTATAGTTACCAATGTCTTGAGTGCCCTTCTTATGCATGAGGATGCTGCCCTCTTGTGGCAATTTTTTAAAAGGCTGGGAAGAGGAGGGTGAAGGGAAAGGGGAAAAAAAATGGATAGTTGAGAAGCAGCAAATAGGGGAAAGCAAAGATGTTAAATCATCTTAGATTGTGATGACCGTACGGGTAGACCCTAGTTTTTAACATCCTGGTGATAAATACCTAAACTGTCATATAGTGGGGAAAAAGTGGTATCTATTCTATAGTCTCAGTCTTGATTATTAAATATTACTGAGGTGCTGTTGTGAGCCGAGACCATATTATACCTCCTCTTCCTGCCCTAATGCACAAAGTCCAAGTGCAAACAAACCTGGTTTTCATCTAGGGGGTTTTACATTTGCCCTGGTTGCTGAAGGTAAGGACCTTCTCTTTGTTCTTGGACTATTTGCAATATCATAGAATTGTTTTAGATTATCATTTTTTTCTGATTACAGACTAATATCTTCCTCATAAAAGTTCCAACAATGTCAGAATGTAAAACTTAGAAAGCAAAAGTCTCCTCTAATTCCATCTTGCAGAGGTAATCAATGCTAACAGTTTAGTGTATATTTTGGCATTTTCTCCTATGCATACACTAATAAATAAATGTTTAAATACAATTTACCCTATGCACATGCTAATACATATTTTAAATGGGTGCCTTTTACTATTTACAATTTGAATTTTGTTTTTTACTTAACAAATGAATCATCAGCCGGGTGCGGTGTCTCACGCCTGTAATGCCAGCACTTTGGGAGGCCGAGGCAGGCGGATCATGAGGTCAAGAGATCGAGACTATCCTGGCCAACATGGTGAAACTCCGTCTCTACTAAAAATACAAAAATTAGCTGGGCGTGGTGGCTTGCACCTGTAGTCCCAGCTACTTGGGAGGCTGAGGCAGGAGAATCGCTTGAACCTGGGAGGTGGAGGTTGCAGTGAGCCGAGATTGTGCCATTGCACTGCAGCCTGGTGCCAGGCAACAGAGTGAGACTCTGTCTTAAAAAACAACAACAAATGAATCATCACAGACAGCTTTTATATCAGTACATCTGGAGCTATCACTTTCATTGTAATGACTATACATTATTTCACTTAATAGATGTACTATAATTAACCCACTGTTAACAAATTTTAACTTTTAAAACTAAAAGGAGGCTGGGCGCAGTGGCTTACGCCTGTAATCCCAGCAATTTGGGAGGCCGAGGCAGGCGGATCATGTGGTCAAGAGATCGAGACCATTCTGGTCTACATGATGAAACCCCGTCTCTACTAAAAGTACAAAAATTAGCTGGGCAAGGTGATGTGCGCCTGTAATCCCAGCTACTTGGGAGAGTGAGGCTGGAGCATAGTCTGAACCCAGGAGGCAGAAGTTGCAGTGAGCTGAGATTGTATCACTGCACTCTAGCCTAAGTGAGAGAGCAAGAATCTGTCTCAAAACAAAACAAAACAAAACAAGACAAAAAAACAACCTAAAAGGAAATTTTCCTTTTGTAGATTAAAAAATCTATGTATATGATAAAGATTTCAGTGGGTACCAAAGGGTAAATGGTAGAAATTAAGTCTCCTTCCCACCCCTGACTGCCAAGCTTTCAAGACCCCCTTTTCAGAGGTTACCACTGCTACTGTTTGTTTTTCCTTCTAGAGATATATGTACATACAACATATATTTGATGATATATAACAAATACCACCTTGACATGATAATGGGCAGTAAAGGGAAGAAAATATTTTTGATGACCCTTAAAATACTCCATGTGGGCAATACCTGGTCTGACTATGGCCGGTCTTGACACTTTTTTCATAACAGTAACTGACATAAAGATGACAAATTTGTGAAGGGCTACAGTTTTCTTGGCTTTGCTTTATATTTTCAGCTTAATTTTGAGTGTTTTCATAACACTTCAAATTCAGTATGGAATTGAGTTGATGATATTGTCTTGTACGGGAAACCAGATTCTCCCATCTTCCCCATCTTGCATGCTTCTTCACTCCCAAATGCAGGCAGACATCTGAATACTCCTTTTTTTGGTCCCTCTCCATTCCTGTTGCTACCATTTGTTACCTTATACCTATAACTCCTCAGTGTTATCAACATTCTTGAACTTGTTGTAGCAAATTCTAAGGTTGCCAGGTCATTAGGTAGAGATTCCCCAGTATTTGAAAAGACCAAAGTTGCTCTACACTGGACAATTCTCTGGGCAAATGCCATCACAGATTGTCTTCCAATGGTGAGATCTAAGCCACACAGTGCAAAAAAAGGGCCTGCGGAAATTCCTTTCTTCTTTATTCCTTCTTTTCCTCCTTCCTCTCCTTTCCCCGACCCCTGAATTATTTGAATGTTTATTATGTGACAGACTCTAGTGCTGAGGATACCATGGGACAGGCCAATATCTCTGCTCTTAAGACGCTAGTTGAGAATGTAAATAAATAAGCAGATAGAAAGAGCAGGGGTGCAGCATGTCATAGGGGCACCATGAAGGACCTCCAACCTCATTGCGTGGACATGGGAAGCATTCTGAGGAAGAGATCTAAGAGTCGAGACTTGAAGAGTGAATCAGCCATTGCAAGGCAAAAGGTGGGTGGAGGCTGGGGGTGGTAGTGCCAGAATGTTTCAGACAGGGAAGGGAATAGCTTATTTGTAAGCTCAGAGGCAAAAGAGGATGAATGGAAAGAACGTAGCTGGAGCCAAAGAAACCTGAGAAGTGAAAGGTGAAACTGGAGAGGCTGGCTGGAGAAGGAGGGGCAGGAGAGGACCTGAGAGAAGTCAGCTTTCTGGGAGAGCTGTGTCAGCTATTTCCAGACTCCTCCTATGCTCTGAAGGTAGTCCCAGTATCCAGGTGTTAGGGAACATTAGTCTGAAGAGAAGGAGCGAAATGATCTGACCGCTTGCTGAATTTTTCTAATTAATTCTTCAAAATAGGAATGCGTGGTGTTTTGGAATGATTTAATTTTTTCACTTAATTTTATTAGGTCGTAAGCAATTTACAGAAGGTTCTGGAAATTTGGATGTGTACATATTCCTTTGAACACGTTTAACCTGGGTACTTCTTTTTCATCTGTTTCCTCATTTTAAAAAAGGAGGCCGGGTGTGGTGGCTCATGCCTATAATCCCAGCACTTTGGGAGGCCAAGGTGGATGGATCACCTGAGGTCAGGAGTTCAAGACCAGCCTGGCCAACATGGTAAAACCCCATCTCTACTGAAAAGGCAAAAATTAGCTGGGTAGGGTGGTGTGCACCTGTAAACCTAGTTACTTGGGAGTCTGAGGCATGAGTTGAGATCTCACCACTGCACTCCAGCCTGGGTGACAAAGCGAGACCCTGTCTCAAAAAACAAAACAAAACAAAAAAGGAAATTGGACTATGGGAACTAACATACCCACATTTCTATGACTATGCATGTTATATTGTGTCAAAAAAACAAAATTAAAACAAATGTAAGATCTCGGTTGGCTTTATTTGTGATTCTAGAACCAGGTAGTTCTTCATTCTGTGAAATAAATGTTCTGATGAGCTGAGCTGAAGAATTTGGCTTTACAGACAGAGAAGGCCTAAAGAAAGCAGAAGAAAAGAACAAGTAGTGTATTAGTTACTTCTAGACAGAACAACAGACAATAACTGGCTAGTTAATATTAGGTTACTTCAGGCTACGTGTGTGTGTGTGTGTGTGTGTGTGTTAGAATTAAAGCAGAGAGACTTCCTTATCAAGCTGATTGAAGATTTATAGTGGCCTATTTGGGAAACTGGCTCTCTTTCTCTCCTGATTTCTCAGGTCACATAACAGCTTGGTTTAGGTTTGGTAGCTTGGAACTTTAGCATGGGTGGCTCCATTTTAATTTTTATTCTGGTATGTTGGAGCCTAGTTCAAGAGCTTAGTCCAAAACAATGACCTATAATTTTTAAAAAATTAATAGTGTGATGGTTAATTGTATGTGTCCACTTGACTAGGCTATAGTACCAGTTGTTTTGTCCAATGCCAGTTTAGATATTGCTGTGAAGGTGTTTTCAGGTATGATTCATACTGAAATCAGTAGAATTTAAGTAAAGAAAATTACCTACCATAATGTGGGTAGACCTCACTCGATCATTTGAAGGCCTTAAGGGAAGAATGAGGTGCCAAATGAAAAGAGCAAGGAATTCTGTTACCAAATTGCCATAGAATTCAAGACAGCAACATCAATTCCTGCTGGATTTTCCAGCTTGCCTACAGATTTCAGACTTGCCAGTCCCTACAATCATGTGACCCAATCCCTTAAAATAAAAATAAATCTCTGTCTCTTTGATAAATTGAATAAGCTCTTTGCTAAAAGGGAAAAGAAAATAATTTACAGTGGTAATATCGCCTCACAATCATGTAACAATTTGGCGTTGGCCAGCCTCAGATTCAAAACCTAGTTCCATTATTTACTGTATGACATTAATTAATTAGAAACAATGTCTTGCTCTATCACCCACGCAGGAGGACAGTGTCACTATCATAGTTTACTGAAGCTGGAACCCCTGGCCTCAAGTAATCCTCCTGCCTCAACCTCCCAAGTAGCTGGGACTATGGGTATGGATCACTACATATAGCTCCAATTTACTGTATGACTTTGGGCACATTACTTAACCTGAGCCTCAGATTTTAAACTTTGAAGTGGGGATAAAAAGAGTCTTTACCTTGTAGGATTAAGTATTAAAGTATTTTAAGTATTAAAGTTTTTTCCCCAACTTTTTTCATAAGTTGAGGGATACATGTGCAGGAGGTGCAGGTTTGTTACACAGGTAAATGAGATAATCCATGTTGTATCTAGCCAGGGCCTGACACAGGGAAATGTTTACTACAAAGTAGCAATCCAGCAGCAAGAGCATCAAAATGACTCTTTCCCTGGTAGGAATGAGCCTGAGGCATGGCTATTAAGGGATAAGGCGAGATAATAAGACAATATTTTCAGGACCACAAACTAGCTCTTTTAGGTGATTCATGGTACTAATTTGGGATTGCAGTGGTGTGATCATAATTCACTGCAACCTCAAACTCTTGGGTTCAAGGGATCCTCCCACATTTTATTTATTTTTTTGAGATGGTGTTTTGCTCTGTTGCCCAGGCTGGAGTGCTCCTAGATTTGTTTTTTAAAGTGTTTTTCTTGTCTCTGTCTCCTTCAATTCAGCTCTGATCTTAGTTATTTCTTGCCATCTTCTAGCTTTGGAATGTGCTCTTGATTCTCTAGCTTTTTTTTTTTTTTTTTTTTTTTTTGTGGTTGTTGTTGTTATGATGTTAGGTTTTTAACTTGAGATCTTTCTAGCTTTTTGAGATAAGCATTTAGTGCTATAAATTTCCCTCTTAATACTGCTCTAGCCAAATCCCTGAGAATCTGGTATTTTGTCTTTGTTTCATTAGTTTCAAAGAACTTTTTGATTTCTGTCTTAATTTCATTATTTGCCCAAGAGTCATTCAGGAGTAGGCTGCTCAATTTCCATGTAGTTGTGTGGTTGTGAGTGAATTTCTCAATCTTGAGTTCTAATTTGATTGTATTGTGGTCTGAGAGACTGTTAAGATTTCAGTTCTTTTATATTTACTGAGGAGTGTTTTACTTCTGATTATGTAATCAATTTTAGAGTAAGTTCTGTGTGGTGATGAGAAGAATGCTTATTCTGTTGTTTGGGATGGAGAGTTCTGTAAATATCTATCAGGTCTGCTGGATTTAGCACTGAATTCAGGTCCTGAATATCTTTGTTAATTTTCTCTTTCAATACTCTTGTCAGTGGGGTGTTAAAGTCTCCCACTATTATTGTGTGGGAGTCTGAGTCTCTTTGTACACCTCTAAGAACTTGTTTTATGAATCTGGGTGCTCCTGTATTGGGTGCATATATATTTAGGATAGCTTTTTTTTTTGTTGAATTGAACCCTTTACCATTATGTAATACTCTTCTTTGTCTTTTTGATCTTTGTTGGTTTAAAATCTGTTTTGTCAAAAGCTAGGATTGCAACCCCTACTTCTTTCTGTTTTCCATTTGGGAAATTTTCCTCCAGCTTGACATTTTATGTCTTTTAATCGGGGCATTTAGCCTATTTACATTTAAGGTTAGTATGCTTATGTGTGACTTTGATCCTGTCATCATGATGCTTGCTAGTTATTTTGCAGACTTTTTATGTGGTTGCTTCATAATATCATTGGTCTGTGTACTTCAGTGTGTGTTTGTAGTGTCTGGTAACAGTTTTCCTTCACATATTTAGTGCTTAATATGAGAGCTATGTTGAAGAGGAGTGATGAGAGAGGGCATCCTTGTCTTGTGCTGGTTTTCATGGGGAATGCCTCCAGCTTTTGTCTATTTGGTATGATAGTGGCTGTTAAGTCTGTCACATGTGCCTTTTATTATTTTGAGGTATGTTTTTTTCAATACCTAGGTTATTCAGAGTTTTTAACATGAAGGGATGTTAAATTTTATCAAAAGCCTTTTCTGCATCTGTGGAAATAAATCACGTGATTTTTGTCTTCAGTTCTGTTTATGTGATGAAGTACATTTATTGATTTGCATATGATTAATCAACCTTGCATCCCAGGGATGAAGCCAACTTGATCATGGTGGATAAGTTTTTGATGTGCTGCTGGATTTCATTTGCCAGTATTTTATTGAGGATTTTTGCATCAATGTTCATCAAAGATGTTGGCCTGAAGTTTTCTTTTTTTGTTGTATCTCTGCCAGGCTTTGGTATCAGATGATGGTGGCGACATAGAAAGAGTCAGGGAGGAGTCCCTCCTTGTCAACTCTTTCAAATAGTTTCAGTAGGAGTGGTACCAGCTCTTCTTTGTACCTCTGGTAGAATTCTGCTGTAAATCTGTCTGGTCCTGGATTTTCTTTTTTTTCTTTTTTGATTGGTAGGCTGTTTATTATTGCCTCAATTTCAGAACTCATTATTGGTCTATTCAGGGATTCAGTTTCTTCTTGGTTCAGGCTTGGGAGGGTGTATGTGTTCCGGAATTTATTCATTTCTTCTAGATTTTTATAGTTTATTTGCATACAGCTGTTTATAGTATTCTCTGCTGAGACTACGCACAGCTCTGTGTGTTGCACCTAAGGCCCTGGTGGCACGGGCTCATAAGAGGGTCTCCTGTTTCATAGGCTGCAAAGATCTATGGTAGAAGTGTGGTTTCCCGGGTGGGGTTGCACAATCACTCACTGCTGCCATTGGCTCGAGGTGGGGGTTCCTTTAGCTCTGTGCCGCTCTCAGCTGGGCCGTCGCCCCACCCTGCTTTTCTTTGTTTACTGTGGGTCGTTTGCCTAATCAGTCGCAATGTGAGAACCTGGATATTTCAGTTGAATGTGCTGTATTTGCTCACACCTTTCATTCCTCTCCGTGAGTGCTGTGGACTGCAGCTGCTTCTAATTGGCTATCTTGGCCATATTTCACAATTCCACATTTCTGAAAAGCTCCTGAGTATTCTTGATGCCACTGATTCATGTACCATATTTTAAGTTGCAAGGTTGAGAATGATTTCCTAAGTTCCTAGAAAAGGGGAGTGATCGCTCACAAAGGGGCTGTTAAATTGGAATTTTCCAACTGCAATGTGCAGCAACATTTGAACCACCCCCCTTCCGAAAATCATTTGAGTTAAAAAAAATTTCTCCTGTTTGAAATTAATACAACTAGCCTTTGGAGCTTTTCTGCCTTCTTTTTTTCCCATTTTTTTTCCTGCCTCACTTTCTGGGAGAATGACTTTTCCCGATTCCTAGGCTGCTCGACAGATCTTTTCACGAAGGGCTTTGGGACATAAGGTAGGTTCCATGGCTGATGGATTGATTTCTTTTTTTTAGATGATAGTTGAGTATGAAAACTGAGTTTCCAGCCTGAATATTTTCCACAATAAACTTCTTCAATCGCTGATTGTGTTTATGAAGGGGTAACTTATTTTTTAGGGAAGTTGCAGAAGCAAATGAAGTATAAGTGGTTATCTGGGAGTATGGATCCTTTTGAGCTCTTCTCTGATTACTAAAACTTTCTTTCCAAGTTCCCATTTTTCATCCCACCGTCTAATTATGTTTATTTTTAGGGTACCAGCACTAAGAGAGAGCAGTAATCATCCCAGGTTTATTTTCTACCACTACATAAGACAAAGACTCTCACAGAAATAAAATCCTCTGTGTTTCTAACCTTGGCCAATTATTTCTTGTGCTTTCCTGTCAATACATTACAAATGAAGCAAAGCAACATAAAAATCAAAGAAGGTAACCCTGTGTACCAAATGAATTCCTTTTCTTGTCAAGTGGCCTTGCTAACTTTTGATGCTTTTCCTAAGGTGAGCTTAGGCCTTGGTTTTCTGAAACACCTTTTTTTTTTCTGAAAAGCTTTATGCCTGAACCCGTCTTTGCTATTCTTGATTGTTTCTATAGCAACTACAATGGAAAACTTTAATGGCATCTACAATCTAATGATATTGGGACATCATGATAACCAGCTCATATTGTTCTATAGAATATTGATGAGTGTCTCTTCCCTCCTTCCTTTTCAAGGACAAATCAAGACAAAGTAGGCTTAAAGCACACGGGATACCACTGTGTTAGATATGAGGAAGGACTTCCAGTGAAGGAATGTGTGAATGAATAAGGGAGGTTCTGGACTTGCATTTTTGGTGAATATTTTAAAGTAAGCTACATCTAACTCCTTTTAATTGGTAGGATCAACATGCTGACTGAAGATAAGGTGCTGATTAACTTCTTAATATCTCTGAAACAATAATATCCAGAGCAAGATTTCAATGTGACATGTTCTTGAGAACATACTTGGTGTTGTTCACTGTTGTGCTAGCTGCTGTGGGACATATAAGAGAGGGATACATAGTCCTTGAACTGAAAGGGTTCAACTTTGTAGCTCTAAGGAAAAGAGAATGTAAGAATAAAGTTAAGCTTTTAGACCAAATTCAGGTGACAGAGAGGTCTGTTACTGAGGACATTACTGTATTGTTATAGGAAAGGAAAACAGGTGGAATTGCTTTTTTTTTTTTTTTTTTTGAGACAGAGTTTCACTCTTGTTACCCAGGCTGGAGTGCAATGGAGCGATCTCGGCTCACTGCAACCTCCGCCTCCTGGGTTCAAGCAATTCTCCTCCCTCAGCCTCCTGAGTAGTTGGGATTACAGGCATGCGCCACCATGCCCAGCTAATTTTTTGCATTTTTAGTAGAGATGGGGTTTCACCATGTTGACCAGGATGGTCTCGATCTCTTGACCTTGTGATCCACCTGCCTCGGCCTCCCAAAGTGCTGGGATTACAGGCGTGAGCCACTGCGCCTGGCCCGGAATTGCTTTACATGAAGGCATAAACTGGACCCATTTAATGCATACAATGTCCACCTCTGCCACAGCTATGGGGTTGGCTAGGTGGTTCCCCTTCTGTTGGGAGCAGTACTGTCTTGTTATTCCAGAGTACTTGGAAAATATTACCATTTTCTATGTGTACCATGACATGAAAAAGTCTAGGAAGTATTGCCATAAACAAAGTTACGTGAGAATCTGGAGGTACAGAAGCCCTTGACTGTTGCCTAAGTCTTCCCCACAAACCTAGGCCAAGGATTATATTTATCTTTGAATTCCTAAGGGTAGTGTATTGTTCTGGAAGCAGCAATGTTTCAAGGAGGAAGGAATAATCAACTGTATCAAATGAGGCTGATAGATGAGGTAAGATTAGGTTGGAGACCTGACCATTGGATTTAGTTACATGGACATCACAGTAAAAGTTGGTAAGTTGTTTTGGTGACGTGGTGGGAACAAAGGCTTGAGGAGTGGATGAAATAGTGAATTGGAGACAGTGCTATAGATGACTCTTCTGAGGAACTTTGCTATAAAAGGAAGTAGAGAAATGAAGCAGAAAGTGGAACAGGGTATAGGGCCAAGTTTTTTTTTTTTTTTTTTTTTTTTTAATCTTTATTTTTGAGACAGAGTCTTGCTCTGTTGCCAGGCTGGAATGCAGGGGCATGACCTCGGCTCACTGCAATTAATGCCTCCTGTGTTCAAGTGATTCCCCTGCCTTAGCCTCCTGAGTAGCTGGGATTACAGGCATGCATCACCACGCCCGGCAAATTTTCTGTATTTTAATAGAGATGAGGTTTCACCATGTTGGCCAGTATGGTCTTGATCTACTGACTTCGTGATCTGCCCACCTTGGCCTCCCAAAGTGCTAGGATGATAGGTGTGAGCCACCACGCGCGGCCTTCATTTTTTTTAAAGGTGAAAATATAGCATGCTTGTATGCTAATGTGAATGATTCGTTAGAAGGTAAAAATGATGTTCTGGCGAGAGTGAGAACATCTGCTGCAGAGAAGTCCCCAAGTTGGTGAGCACAGATAAGATCTAGTGCAGTAATAGAGGCCTCATCTTGGACTGGGGCAGAGACCCCTCTCTACACTAACAGAAAGGAAGGCAGGGAACATAGGTACTTGTATCTACAGGTAGGCTGGGAGTTGTAGTAATAGCAGCACTGAAATTCTTTCCTGGTTGCTTCTATTTCTTCATGAAATAGAAAGGAAAGTCAGCAGCTCAGAGTGAGGGTGGAAAGAGAGAGAAGATACTGTCTTGTATTCTGTATTTTAGGAGTTTGCTCCTTTCATTTTTCAGGAGTTCTCTAATCATGACTCCAGCCCTTCAAGTCAAAGTACCCTTATGACCTGCTAAGCTCTTCACTTTCCGTTTTCTCCACCAGAGTACAGGCTGTGGATTCTGGCAAAGAATAGCTCATGCCACAGTCCTTACCCCTGTAGCTTGGGAGCACCCCTCAGTAGTAGTAGATAGAGCTGTTCAAAGCAACACAGTAAATAAAGACATCTTTCTGGCCTGTAGCAGTGTTATCTTGGAAGTTACTTGACATCTGTTTTTGATCCCTTTCTGTAAAATGTGGACAACACTAGCTTACCTCATAGGGCAGCTATTAGTCTCAAATGAAGTTACATGAGAAGTATGTAGAATAGTGTTTGGTGCATATAAGTGTTCTACAAGTGTTACTATTTTTAAGACTGTTTCTCTGGAGTTGACAATCCTTCAATAGTTCCCTCTGCCTGGAAGGCTCCCCTACTCCCATTTACCAACCAGGCAAATTCCTACTCAATCATTAGGCTTTAGTTCAGGGGTCTATTTCTCATGAAGCCTTAGGTAACCCATTTAAACATTATTAAACTTTTCTTCTTTGGGCCTTGACCTTGAATCTCTCACTGCATTCAGCAACACTGTACTGTAATCATCTGTTCACAGGACTAGATTATCTTCCTTGTGGGCAGTGAGCTACATGAGGGCAGGGGCAAGGTCTCGTTTTTTTTTTTTTTTTTTTTTTTTTTTTTAAATTTCAGGACATAGCACTGTGCCTGATGCAGAGTAGACAACTAGAAGCAATGAAAAATATTAACTATGTATGGATATAGGAAAGAACCAGAAAGGACTGAGAGAAGAAAACACTTGTTCTGCTACACTGACATTTTCGCCCTTGCTTTCATTATTTTCATGTTGTTTCAGTACCAAGTTAAAAACTGCTCCCATCCATCTGTGTAACCAGCTGTTCCCCTCCCTTTTTTCTCCTTGGTCATAAGAAGGGACTGGAGTGAGACTGCCTTAGAATGTCAGTTCCACCACTACCGAGTTGTTCACTTTAGGCAAGTTTTTTTTGAACCTTTCTAAGGCTGTTACTTCACCTGCAGAATAAAGGTAACAGCAGTTCCTACCTCACAGAACTGTTACGAGAATGAAACACTCATATGCTCAATAAATGTGAGCTACAGTAGTAATTTCTATAGAAATTGTGAGGACCTTTAAGCCCCTTCTAGCCATCTCCCAGTTTGCACTGCTCTCTCCCACGTGCTGCAGTCTGCCTCTCACCGGACACACACTGTTTTTACATCCATCCTGAACTCTGACTTCGGTATAGTTTTAAAATGATACATATTCATTCCTGAAAATTAAAATGGAAGAAAAAAATTAACTCACTGGAAATCTCAGCACAGTTAACCACTAACATTTGAGTCTATTATTTGTTTAGACCTTTTCTTATGCGAACGCACACATTTAAACTTTTTTCCCCACAAAAGTCCGTATAATACAAATTTTAAGACCCGTCCTTGCACTTATCACGGTCCCTCCCTCTCCACCTATCTCTGATGCCTTGAGAACCCCTGCACCGCTGCTGACCCCCATCAATTCCAGCTCCCACCAGTCTGGCCTTCCCGCAGTCCCAGTTCCGGTCCCACCTGCGGGACCCGGGCCGCGCCGCCCTGCCCCTGCCCCGCCCCGCCCCGCCGCGCCGCGGCCGGCCTCCATCCCTGGCCCCGCACCCCGCGCCTCGCCGCCACCGGGCGCTGATCGCTCGCGGCTCCTCCGTGCGGCCCGCTTCCGGTAGGGCCGGGGAGTCTCCGCCGCAGCTCGGCTCCCGCGTGCTCAGCACTGCCAGTGGCGGTCAGATGCAGGCGGAGCTCGGAGCTCGGGGAGGCCGCGGGAGGCGGTCTGGCCGCGACCGGCCCGGCGGAGACCGCCACAGCGAGCGGCCAGGAGCCGCAGCGGCTGTAGCCAGAGGTGGCGGCGGCGGGGACGGAGGCGGCCGCCGGGGCCGTGGCCGCGGCTTCCGCGGTCCTCGCGGAGGCCGAGGAGGAAGAGGCGCCCCGCGAGGCGGCCGCCGGGAGCCCGGAGGCCGGGGTGCCGGGACCAGCGCGCCGGTAAGGGGTGACGGCTGGTGGGGCCGGACCGCGTGGAACTCGGGCAGATGGGGTAGGGGCAGCTAGTCAAGAGCCGCCGGCGACCGTGCCAGGCGCGCGCCAGACTGGCGGCGGCCGCGGCGGCGCATGCGCGAAACGGGCAGAAGGTGGCGGGGGCGCGCCGGTTTCGTGCGCTTGGCGTCGCTCGCGGCCTCCGGTCCCTGCTGGCGCTAGACCGCGGAGGTCGGAGGGCTTTCCCGCCTGCCCCAGGATCGGGGTTAGGAACCCGGAGGCCAAGGCCTTGTGTTGAGGCTGCAAGCCTCGGCTGCCCTTGGGGCCGGCTGGAATGTCTGTATGATTAACCACTTTGGGACCGAGGGGCAGCCAGGGCGTGGTCTCCGTGCCGAGGCCTTGGCAGCCTTACCCTAGAGGACGCTCCTGTCACTGGAAGGGAAGGAAGTTTTTGGTCTTTTTTGTTTACTGCCTGTACAGTGCGTAGTACACAGTAGGCGCATAATGAAAACAGTTTGTTGAATGAAAGAACGACCCCCTGCGACTGGACTCTAGTATTTGACGGCGGGATCAGATGCATATTTCTTTGTAATACCGTAATTCTCTTCTATTACACCTATATGTGTAGCAATCAGGGACCACTGTCCTTCGTCGTTTTGAATTTTCAACTTATAAATGTTTGAGCAGTCAAATTCTGAGTTTTAATAGCAATATCATCAGTCGTATTGACACATTCATAGAAAGTTTTCAGAGATTGGAGCAGGGGATGATATATATGGGGGCAAATTCAATCATATCTCAGCTAAGGAAGCTGGAGGACTGCCTTTTTATGAGCTGTTCTGTTACCTTAACATCTATAGGACAAGACCATCTTTATATTCTGAATTCTTATGCACACAGATTAAAAAAATTCTTTTTTGAATGAGGCCGAATTTGCTATGACTGAAGTATTTACATCTTAAGGGCCTAGCAGATAAGATATCCCTAAAGAGAGTAATTGTATACAACAATACAAAGCGGGGAAAAATATTATAAAACTTTAAATGTAACAGACTTAAATCTTGTTCGGATTAAGGTAGGTAATAGGCAAAACTTGAATGAGATATAAAAACATTTTTGGGTCAGTTTACCTGGTGTTTGAGGAAGGTAATGACAAAAACTAAAGACCAACCTAGTGCGGACTATATATCACATTTTGTTCTATCTGTATTTTATATATATGTAATATGTACATAATGTAGAATTATGTAATAGTATATAATTATATATTAAATACAATGTATATATTATATATAATAATCTTTATTTTTATAGGTTAATTGACTTGCCTAACCTTTCACAGCTAGTAGCAGAGCTGGGATTTATAGCAAGCTGCCTTGAATCAACTGTATTTTATCTGTTACTTTTTCATGAAACAGTCACTTTGCTGAGAACAAAGTAGACAATCTTTGGCTGCAGAGATTGTGCTTTTTAAGAGTAATTGTAGTAGTAATGGTACCTTTGGTATTAACTTTGGCGTCTGGCACACAGGACTGTAAGTGTCTTTAAGTTGAATTGAGTGAGTGAAGGTGCTTCTGTTTTGTTAATCTCTGTTGAGTTAAATTGGGTGAAATGATGGTATATCATTAAGAGAAAGAACAACCTAAGACTTTAAAAAATTTAAGCTAGTATTGTAACACATTCTGTTAAAAGTTTAGGATTTTATCTTTTGTTTAGTTGGTCTTATCCCTTAATCATGATGTTTTCAGTCAAAGCTGGAGGAAGGGATGTTGGGTAGATTATTCCTTAATTTTGCTTTGGATTGGTGATCTCTAAGTTCCTTCCATTTCTCAGATTCTGAAGTACTGTTTGTATTTAGTCTTGCTAGGATACCATTTCTGGTACTTAATGACTACATGAGACAAGATTGACTTTCCTGAAGTTTTCTTGTTCTCATATCCCATGGTGCGTTTGTACCCCAAGGAGAGAGTAGTTGAAATGATCAAAAGAAAAAAAAAATCATAATAGACTTTCAGCCATGTAAGGACCAGTTGTCCACCTTCAGAAACCAATATTGTTTACACCTTTGCTTTCTATTTTGGACCACTGCATGTAAATGGAAAACAAAATCAAACTAACCAACTTCTAGATAGCTATATAATACTACAAGGTAACTTACTTGAGTATGAAGTTGAGTACACCACTTCTTAGTCTCTTGCTCTTTTATCATTCCTTCTGAAAATGGTCTGAGCTCTAAGCTTACTGATTACGGATATGCATAATTATCTTCACAGAATGCTCACTAGAAGCATTATTGTACTAGACATAATCGTTAACTTAAAAAGAAAAACAACTGGCTGGGTGTGGTAGCTCACACTTGTAATCCCAGCACTTTAGCGGGGCTGAGGCGGATGGATCACTTGAGTCCAGGAGTTCAAGACCAGATTGGGCAACATAATGAGACCCCCATCTCTATAAAAAAATACAAAAATTGCCAAGTGTGGTGGGGTGCATCTATAGTCCCTGCTACAAGGGAGGCTGAAGCAGGAGGATCGTTTGAACCTTGAGGCGGAGGCTGCAGTGAGCTGTGATTGTGCCACTGCACTCCAGGCTGGCTGATAGAGTGAGACTCTGTCTCAAATAACTAACTTACTAACTAAATAAATAAACAACCTCTCTACCCCACCCCTCTCCTCCAGCCCCCAATACTAGGATTCTTTAGTATTTATCTTGGTGATGAGCTGTTAGCAGAGAGGAAGACAAGGCCTGTTGGCAGTCATTGCAGTTTTTTTGTTTTTCCTTCCTGTGGTAATAACAGTAATTCACATTTGTTGAGCACTTAATATGAGATGATACAGCTGAGGCACCATTAAATAACTCAAAGTTAGGAGAGGTGAAATAACTTTTTAATATCACTCAACCAGAAAATTGCTGAGCCTGGATTCCACCCCAGCATTTTCACTCCAGAGCCTGTTCTTTTAACTGCTGCTCTAAAATGTCCCTGGAATGTCTTTGAGATTTGAAAAAGGGGTGTGTGGAGGACTGTTGAGTGCTTCTGTCACATGCTTGTTGTTGTTTTTTTTGTTTTGGTAACTGATGTTTTAGTATGGTTATAAGGTTTTAAGGTAGTATTGATACCATCTTCAGTTATTGTGAATATTAGCAGACCTTTGCTTTCTTGCTCCATGTTTATATTGCAGCTTTTCATATTCCTTTTAAAATAACTCGTATTCAATAAAAGATGAGACAGCTGTTTATAGCTATACTAAAAAGTAGAATCTGGAGACGATTTATTCTGATCAAACTTTTGCTTTGTAAATAAAGCCTGAGTAGTAATTAATACCAGATGCCTTTGACACTTTCATTTCACTTGGTAAAAGGAAAATATCTAATTTTCTGTTCAACTTTAGTGTGAACCTGAAGGGAAAAAGTGTCCTACTTTTTTCACCCACAGGCAGGTGTCTAAGGCATTTGCGCCTTCATTGTTGCTGAAAGGAGCCACCAGCAACATGTCAGCCAGCTAGAGACTGAGAGCCTGTAAAAGCTCAAACTGAAATGACAGCCTCTACACTATATTTTCCTTTTTTGCAGAAAGCTTGAAGCTTTCTGGAAAAAATTTGGTTAGAAACTGAAAGTGCTTAAGTGTCCCAACAGAAGATTGCCTCAAGATTATCTCTTGGTAATCTGTGAAATTGACCTCCTCTCCTGGTGCTGCAAACCATTGCTTACAACTGTGATTATTTTGGCATCCTTATCCTTATTAACATATTCTGTTTGTAAGTTGCTTTTCTCACTGACCATTATTTCACTTACATATTTTCAATATCAACAGAGACAACTGAACGTTTTTGCTTGTAAATTCTGCCTAAAAATTTTTGGGAAACCATGTACAATGTACTTTAAAGTTTATATCCAACACATTTTTATCAATGGATCAGAGAATTTCAAAATATAAAATTTCCAAACATATTGTATAGATTGACTTTTTAAATAAAACTGTCATGCAACTTTTATATATTGTTTCTTTTTCTTTTTTAAAGAAACTGGGTCTCACTTTGTTGCTCAGGCGAGAGTGCTTCCTTCAACTCCTGTACTCAAGGGATCCTCCCACCTCAGCCTCCTGAATAGGTGGGAGTACAGGCGTGAACCACCATGCCCAGCTAATATTTTTATATTTCGTAGAGATGGTCTCACCGTCTTGCTCAGGCTGGTCTCAAACTCCTGGGCTCAAGCAGTCCTCCCACCTCAGCTGCTCAAAGTGCTGGGATTACAGATGTGAGACACCACACTTAGCTATGGATGCATTTTAAATACTAGAGTGATTTGATGTTTGCCTTTATCCATTTAAAAAAATCACATTAATAAACTCTTTAGTGGTGTGAAGATTTCCATTGTTTTTTATTCTTTTTTACTTGTGTTTTAATTCCCATCTCCTACAGAAGTATTTTAAGAATCTGTCAAGTGATCACTGTATTAGGTTCTCCATCACTTTGGTTGAAAGCAAAGAATTGGAACTATCAGATTTGCAAAGGACATGTTACATGTTCTTTAGAGTTATACTTCCTCAACATCTATATTTAAAATTGTCCCATTGTTGGGACTTGGGGAATACAGCCAGACTGAGAAAGGCTGAGAAGGAGTTGTGCTGTCTTCAGGTGCCTTCTAAGGTAGACTGCTTTTGGGAAAGACTGTGGGTCTTGAATATCTGAAAGTTGATTCCCTGAAAAACATAACTGCTCTTACACTCCTTGGAAAAATTGAACCGCCAGGTATTTGAACATTCCATTTGGAGGACAGCTAAGATCATAGCGTCTTTGTTTCTTAGTGAGTTAGTTCATTGCATGAATTAATTCAGAGCTTTTTTGTTTTTTGGCTGTCCATCATTTGCAGAATATGGTTTCCAAGTTTGGTCATTCATTTTTTTTTCTTTTTTCTTTGGAGACAGAGTCTCGCTCTTTAGCCCAGGCTGGAATATGGTGGCGCGACCTTGGTTTACTGCAACCTCCGCCTCCTGGGTTCAAGTGATTTTC